ATATTAAACCTCATCAGGTCCAAAATCGTTGGCCATTGAGGGGAAATAATGCAACAGCTGGTTGCATTTTTAACATTTTAAATAATTTGTACACAATAAATATAAAAATGGCTTATGTTTATTTTTGATTATCATAATAGTTCTCCACGTGTAGCAAAAAATATTTTTCTAATGTACATTTTAATATTATAAGATTAAAAGTCACAATATGATGACGGATTAATACAATCCTAAAAAGTCACAGCCATTTCCAAAATCAATATGAATTTTTATGCTTTTTTCTGAAATAACCGGCTATGGCCATTTAAAAAAAAATGTCTCTTTTAAAAAAAAAATCATATTGAATGATGACATGATGGTAAAAAAAAAAAAAATCTTTGAAATTCATTGATTTAAATAAATGGGACCCTGGCAGCCAACATGCCTCCAACCGGAATTCAGCCTGATTTGTTTCAGAACAGTTCCTGAATCTGTTTAAGTCTTTTCCATTGTTTATGAAAATGCAGACACTCTTTTAAGGCTGGAAATTTGAAACATTTTATTTTGTAATACAACCTCAAAAACTATTGTGGTTGTTATAAGAACTGAAAAATCAATGAGTAAGATATATCACAATGGTAACACACTCTAGTGCAGTCCTGTCAAAGGAACAAACAGGAACCCAGAAGTCCAGAACTAAAGACTGTCCATCTAACTGTCATCATGGAGGCAATATTCACAATTTAGGACAGGCGCCTCATGCCTCAGATCTTCATAGTGGCTCATGAAGTCAATGAGATGGCTAGAAGAGCTTGAACATGGAATGGATCTGTGGGAGAAAAGGAGAATTTTGTTTTCACCCTATGAAAAGTGCAGCATTACAAATCTTTTCTAGTATAACATGTTCATTTGTGTATTTGTAATCACATTGCAAACCCAATGCAATACTAGGAAGAGGTTTTCAGAGCTTACTCTGCTGGGTAGAACTGCTGTCCGGTCATGTGGAGGTCTGCAGAGAAGATATATTGAGGAGCAGAGAGAGGACATTGATCTGTGTTGATAAAACCTTGTTGCACCTCCATGGCCTGGTTAATGTTGGCTGACAAAAGCATTGTGATGTTTTTAGCATGAGAAGTAATTTGGCTTCATATCGTGTTTAACCACCCAGCCCAGAATATTATTATTAACTAACATTAACCAGTGAATTCAACTCTTGGAGGGTTTTAAAGATCAATAGTATACCTGCGAGCTAGCTAAATTACTTTTTTATCATAATACAAACACTCTACAGTGAATGGAATTACGTCATTACTTGTGATGTCAAAATGCAGTCTAAAATATAATCTTGCAAAATTACTGCATTTGATTATCAACAAAAAGAACACTTCTGTTTTTTTGTGTATACAATGCATATACACTGCTGATGATGACATTTATTGTACTCTACTGTACACATAAAAACCAAAGCATACTTAGGGCTTAAGTGTCTCGCCTAACCTCATACTTTGCTTTTTTAAAGGGGTCATATGATGCTATTTAAATTTTTCCTTTCTCTTTGGAGTGTTACAAGCTCTTGGTGCATAAAGAAGATCTGTAAAGTTGCAAAGACTAAAGTCTCAAATCCAAAGAGATATTCTTTACTTCGTCGAATCCGCCCGCCACGCCGTTCTTAAGCTCACCGGCCGCCGCTCACTCAAGCCGGCCTCCGCTCACTCTAGCCGGCCGCCGCTAACTCTAGCCCCCGGCCTCTACTCACTCTAGGCCGCTGTGTGTGACGCTGTGTTTCATTGTGAAAGCGAAACTACTTTGTTTGGCCTTCCAAAAATGGACACGACTAGAAATCAGTGGTTAAGTTGTACTTACAACACTGTTCCAGACCACTTCAACCCAAAGATTCAGATAAGTGCAGCACATTTTATGGAGGACTGTTTCCTGATCCTGGGAGAGTAGACTACAATGCCGGCTGTTCTGACTCAAAGACTGTAAGTACGTTTTTTATATTTAAAGCAAGTTTTTTTTGGCAGTGTAGAGTAGGCTAGGGCTTGTTGTTTGTCATTTCTCCGATCACAAATGCAGATATGGTTTTATGTTTACGCGGCGTGATACAACGCAACGCGTAAAAAGACAATATAAGTCATTATAATCCATAATTATGTCCCCACTGGATGCAACAAATGCCTCGTTTATAATGGGTTTTAATGTTTTTAAATCATCACTCCGGCCGGACACGGCATCACAATATGGTAAGGGGGCGTAACCTTTCCGTCACACGGTTGAGGTATTCGGCCAATCACAACGCACTGGATAGCTGGCCAATCACAGCACACCTCGCTTTTAAAACAAACATCACGTGACCACGCGAATACAGAAAGCATGGACGTAGAATACTTGTATTAAAAACGTGCATTCATAAAATAATCTACATATTTATTTTAAAACGCTCTATTTCACTTGATACATAATTAGGAAGTGTTGATATCAATTCAGTAGCTAGTGGTACAAACGTGCACAATATATTTTCAGTGTATTTTTGTAACTCTTTGTAAATATTCACCTCTAAATTATAGGGGGATTTAGGTAAATTGGGACACTATTTTCCATTGAAATGACAATAAATGACTAATAAACCTGAATATTTCTATATACAATAACATTAAAAAATATTAGGCATGTTATATATATATATTTTTTTTTTCTTTTTAAGGGGTCATATGATGTTGCTAAAAAGAACATTATTTTGTGTATTTGGTGTAATGAAATGTGTTTATGCGGTTTAAGGTTCAAAAAAACACATTATTTTCCACATACTGTAGATTATTGTTTTGATTATTGAAAGGAAAAATTGAAATCGCATCATATGACCCCTTTAAATAATGCATATAAGTAGAAAAAAAAGTGTATAATAATTTATTCAGAGATCACCATGAAAATAGCCTTCATGCTGGCATTGTGTTAAAAAGTGAATAAATAAATAAATAAATAAAAAGTGTATAAGTTTGAAAACGAGCAAAGGCATTTCAGATTGAAAGAACAGAAGCAGATTAGTGCTATATGAATAAAATAAATCAAATTGAAATTGAATCAAACCGTTTCAACAGTAGATGCCCGTTTAGTCATATTCACATACAAACAGGTTTTGGTGAGAAAAGTGTTATCAGGCATAATTACATCCTTTTATTAGGTTTTGCATTTGGATATATTTAGACAAGATCAAATACTACCTTTTGTCAAGGTGTAGATTATTAATTTTTTCTAACCTGTAAACAGTTTGAAATCCAGCTTCACTTCAAAAATTTCTATAACTTGATCTCACTCTCTCTGAAATTTTTTTTTTCACATATATGTTACCAAAGCCCTTCAAATTAGAATAAATATAATAATATACAATATCAATAAAATCTAAATGAGAATATATATAACATTTTATCAGCCTTACATTTAGGGTCAAGTCAGGTTTGCCACCTCCAAAATTTACCCCCTTAACTTTCTAAAGCCTGACATTTGAAATAATAATTAGAAACTAATCTGATGAATCTGTATTACTGTAAATCAGTAAGAATTTATAACAGTATAACAGACTGCTTACATAAAAAGCATATACATATGAGTTGTCACTCTATAACTCCCAATAACTGTCATAAGATGAAATTTAATTGTGGGAGGCAAAACATATAATGCAATAAAATACAGTGATGACTGAGAGATGTACAAATAAATGTTCCTCAAAAGCCTGATCATATTTGATACGTTTTAACATGATTTTTCAGAAAAATGGATAATCAAGTAAATTTAAGTTTAAGTTGAATCTTGAAATATTACTCTTGAAATCTCTGATCTTGAAATATTATTAAGTTTACTAAAAATCGACTTAAATATTAGAATCTACTAAAATCTGAAAAGATTTTACAGCAGAAAGACATTTTCAAAATTATACTAAAAGGCCTTTTACTACTAAAAAAGTATGAACTATCAATCAAAGGACAGAAGGCATGTAATGATTGTATGAAACAGTTTTTTCTCCCATTTTTGTACATGTTGATAATTTAGAGATCATTTAAAACAAGATACATTAGACTTACAATAGAGGGAGCCACAGGACAGGACATTAATGAATGCAGCCCATTTCCATTATTGCACAACTCGTCCTCAAAAGTGGATCAAGTAGATTATTGAGATGCCAAGATACTTCAGATAAGTTGTCATAATACCAGATTCTCTACTGTAAAAATCAAAGCACATTATATTTTTATAAGCTTTTGATAAACATCTTCAAATAGAAGCACTATTGAAATCACCTCTTTGAATTGTAGCACTACTAATTCTTTTAAAGGGGTCAAGTCAAGTCAAGTCACCTTTATTTATATAGCGCTTTTAACAATACAGATTGTGACAAAGCAACTGAACAGCATTAATTAGGAAAATAGTGTCAATAATGCAAAATGACAATAGTAAACACTCATTTTTCAGTTTAAGACAGTTCATCATTGAATTCAGTGATGTCAACATCCAGCTCAGTTTAAATAATATCTTTGCAATCATGTCAACGATAACGCTGGAAATGAAGTGTCCCCACTTGAAACTGGTCATATGATGCTGCTAAAAAGAACATTATTTTGTGTATTTGGTGTAATGAAATGTGTTTATGCGGTTTAAGGTTAAAAAAACACATTATTTTCCACATACTGTACATTATTGTTTCTCCTGCAACTTTACAGATCTTCTTTATGCACCAAGAGCTTGTAACACTCCAAAGAGAAAGGACAAATTGAAATCGCATCATATGACCCCTTTAAAAAAATGACAGGTATTATCCATCTCGGCATCTTAATTTTAAGACCGAACCATGAAACATACTTTTAGGAACAATATCAACTATTGACTAATGAGAACGCTACAAGTCTAGACACCATTAAAGTCACAAAGACAGCTTTTGATGAAATTGTTTAATGTCAAACAAAGTTTCTCAGTACAATAAAATCAAAAACTGAATTCTGAAAAGAAACTATAATCAAAGAGGTGCTCGATTTCATGTTTCTCTTTACATTTGCATAAACTAAGAAGTGTTTACTCGATTCACACATGTCTAGATCAATGTATATATATGCACAGGATCTCTCTGTATAATGTTAAGTATTAAAATAAGAAACTAAACCACTATGGAATAAATCTAAATAGTAATAAAATAAAGATTTGGTCATTTTGAACATAATGCCTCAGTGCCTGATGGAGGGCCCCTTGTAAAGCAGCATGTGAGAAAATGGACAAAACCAAATGTTAAAAGAAAGAAAAAAGTGACAAGTAAACTTCATTTGGGGTTCACAATGCCTTCATCGATTCCATAGCCATCCTGTGACAAACATTTAATAAATTTAACACTGACAATGCTTGAAACTGTAAAATCGACACACATGCAATAAAAGGACATAACGGATATGACTGTTATTATGAGGCATTATAAATACCAATTCAAGTAGTAACTAGAAATGTGTAACACTACTCCTGCTACCGCCAAAGCACTGATTTGTGCGGCTTCAGATGACAAACTCAAGGGAAGAGACCCCTAGAAATCTTCACATTAGATGAACGTATGTAGCACTATCCCCATCCATATCATTCAAGAATGTAATGGCTTTCGCTTTTCACGCAACACATCCTTCTCTAAGACAGTTTTGGATTCATCAAGTATGGTTAATAACCTTCAGACACATTTGTGTTATTAAAAAGGTGGCCATTTCACAGGCAGGCACACTTCAAATTACGGTCAGGTAGCTTGCTACACAAAAGTACTCAAACTATATCTACAGATATAGTCTGTTTTTTTTTTTTTAAAAAGAAGAAAAAAGTTGACCATATTCATCTAAATAACAGGTGCTGGAGTGATAACGGAATATAAGGAGTGACAAATTGCAACGATTCAAACCGAAAACAAAAACATGAGTAAATATTAAGGACCTGTGGTAAACTGTTCCATCTTATACCGTCTGAGAAGTGAGTAAAATCATTTATTTTTTGCACACCAAGATATTTACAATTCAACCCTTTGAGGCCTTTAAATCACAGCATGAATAATGCAAATTATGAGGTAATTTCTGAAATCAGTCGTATTTGAAAAGTGAACAGGGCCGTGATGAAAAAAAAAAGAAAAAAAAGTGATGTTTCTGTTGTGAGAGAAAAATGTACCAAACTGCACATGGTCATCTTTTTTCTTTAGAAGTATATAATATGCTTTGCACCATTTACAAAAAAATCCACCCTTTGATTATCAACCCCACATGAAAGAAAAGCAGATTCTTGTGTGTGTGTGTCTCTCTGTATCTGTTAACGAATAAGGACAAATGATTGAAGAGTCATGACACGGGCTAGTTTTGTCAGTTTTGTCCATTTTACTGGATGCAGGCTCCTTCTATTGAGGTGTATTTGGACTGTTAACCCTCTTGGAGTGATACACCCTTCATTTCCCAAAGTTGCCAAAGTTTGCAAAGGCATCTTGTTTAGGTTGCACCATGGCGGGGTTCATGCCCTGGCCAATCCCCATGCTGGGCGTGCCCAGGGCACCTTGCAGGCCTATTCCAGCGGGCATCATATTCATGCCCACGAGTCCTTGATTGATAGGCATTCCTCCGATACCCACAGAGCCCATTCCCATGGTGCCCGTCGCCATAGTAGGAGGCATTCCCATGCCCATGGTCCCCCCGGCCATCATGGGGTTCACTCCCGGTCTGGGAGCGGCCGCCAAGGGCTGGCCATTCAGTGTCATTCCGGCGAAATTCTGGGCGACCGTGTTCAATGGTGGCTGGACACCTAAATGAGAAATATATTATAATTACAATATGAATAAATAATACATGCAATTGCTTATGACTGTTGATTACCTCAAAGAACAAACTTTTATCAACTCAAGGCAGGACAATCTGATCTGAATCATGAAGATAATTGTCCGAGTAGAAGTAGATAGTTTGTTTGGGATCTCTAACCTTGCTGCATCATGGTGTTGAGTGTGGGCTGTGTGGGTTTGGAAGGGTTCAGGCCTGCAGACAGGAAATCCAGGCTGATGTTCACGCTTGGGTCTGACCAGGTGGCAGGCATTGATACCTTCCCACCTGACTTTTGTAGTCCCATCTGCTGAGGCAATAACGGGCCGCCTATTGTCTGACAAGGAAGAGGAAATTACGGTAAATTATATCTTATAATTACAACAAAATATACCATATTAAACTCATACTAATTTCAAATTACAGCACAATTTTTAAAATGATGATATGATAATTCGCAATAACAGAATACTGACCAATACACCGACTGTCCTGCAGCACTTTTTAATTTAAATATTTTAGGCGACTCATACTTTTCATAATACAAAGTTGGTTGACTTATAATGCCACTCATAATAGGACAAAGCTTGATTGTATCCATTATCATTGTATCCATGTTGTATACATCCAACATGTATCCATTTAATTCAACCCATATATGAACTCCAAACTGATTCACCGTGTTATATTCTGTTCCTGACCTGCCAACCATGGGAATATATTTTGAGTGCACTACTTCATTTTCCCACTTATCACCATACCAAGTTATTCAACATATGCATCGGTTGTGAGGACAAAATGCATTCATATATTCTTGAGGCGGGGGGGTGGAACATTATGTTTAATCATTTAAAAATATATATTTCAGTTGTCTCAAGCCACATTCACACCATTTTCACGAAACTCATTCAATATAACAACAACAACAACAATAATTATTATTTTATCTACAGAATAAAATTCTGTGTCATCTTCTAATAAATATTCTATAATCTTTTGTATTTTCTTCTGAATTGAACGGGTTATCAAAAACGAATAAATGTAGAAAAAGTTTGAGATGTGGATGCTGCAGGCAAAAGTGGAGACAGCTAAACTTGAATTGAGGGGCAGGTTTAAGTAGACTAAGGCCACATATACACTGCAGCTAAATTCACCTTTTAGTGCTTAATCATGTTCTGTACTCACACAGTTCACAGGAGTAACAACCACATGCTATAACCAAATTAACTCTGAATTACCTGAAAAATTCAGGTAGTGACAACCGCATTTGCAAAAAAAAAAAAAAGTATCAGAATTGTCTCCTCTTATGTGTGGTGCAAGTAATGACAGGGAACAAGGAACGTCTTAACTCAGTGTTGCCAGATCTTGCTAGAAAAAGCAAATAAACTTAAATTCAAAAGCTGTCTTAAAGGGGTCATATGATGCTTTTTTAAAGATCATTATTTTGTGTATTTGGTGTAACAGAATATGTTGACATGCTTTAATGTTCAAAAAACACATTATTTTTCAAATACGCATTACAAGTAACGCGAGTTACGTAATCAGATTACTTTTTTCAAGTAACTAGTAAAGTAACGCATTACTTTTTAATTTAGAAGAGAATCTCTGAGTTACTTTTTCAAATAAGTAACGCAAGTTACTTTTTTTCCCGATTTATTGATTGACAGCCCTGGTGTCCCCATGTTGAGAGAAATCAGATGTTACTGTAGTTCTAAAATAAATATGAATATGCATTAATTCATCAGTGATGAAGCTGGTATGTGTTTGCAGTACACAAGTCACGGTTAAGACAGCTGACTCCACTGTGATGTGACCCTGTCTCTCTCTCACACACACACACTCAATGCGCAAAACTCCGCATTTGATCAGTCAATAGCAAATACGTAAACTAATAACAAAACAGTAGCTGATTCAGAAGTGCCAGATTGTCATAGCAAAGTCAGAATTACCTCCTCTCCTAGGTTCACGAAACGGTCGTCCATAAAATGCATTGCTGTTCTGTTGTAAGTAATCTTAAAGATTCCTAAATGCATCTACTTCCGGAAGGCCAAATAAAGTGCTTTTGCTTTCGCCTAGAAACACACAGCGTCTCCCTGACATGCTGCTTCAACACTAACTGCAGTTACTGAAACCACGCCTTCTTTCTTTGCGTGCACATTTGGGTGGCATTATGCAAATATTTCCACATAGTGAGGTAGATATGTGGGGGCGTGTTAGAACGAGCCGTTTTAGGGGGGCGTGGCAGAGTCTTAACTTTGATAAAGAATATCTCTTTGGTTTTGAGACTTTAGTCTTTGCAACTTCAGGGATCTTATCTATGCACAATCAGCTTGTAACACTACAAAGAGAAAGGAAAACTTGAAATCGCATCACATGACCCCTTTAAAAAAAAGCCAAAATAGTGCAACCGGCCTATTTGATTAATTGTGTATCATTTAAGTCCAAAGATGCTTTAAAAGCATCACTTAAAACAAGTGAGCATGGCAACACTTCATGAACGCGCTCTTCGAAGCAGCCTTCCAAAACACAGAACACTGCTGTTCTAAATTTAAATGCAGATATCACTCCTGAAACTTTGAGGTGTGTGTGTCACCTAAATGCTTGGGAGTCCTGCATACGTCATCAGCCAGAAATCTGCCATTTCTCAGGAAGCTCCAGCTACATCATTGTGATTGAACATTAAGTGGTCCACAAAATAATTAATTTTTTGTTGACAATAGTGCAGGTGCACAAATCACACCTACTTTGAGGTAGGTGTGAAAAATGCATGCACATTGGTGAATCTGCTGTTCTGGGAAGCCTTTCTGATGAACCGAACCCACGTTTACCTGTGATCTGGACAGAGGCGTGGTTGCGTTCTGCGGGCACATGTTGAAGGTCAAGCTTTGGGATGCGCTGAGGCTGCTGTTGTTGGGGGTCATCAGGTCAAAGAGGTCCGCGGAAGGCGGGTGGGTGGATGTGGACACGTCACTGAACAGATCTGGGATGGCAGACGGAGCAGTGACAGCAGGAGGACTGGTGGAGGAGAAGGCGTTCCAGTCACCAAACTCACCGTTACCAGTAGACAGCGAACCTGAGGAGATTAAATAAATTAGAACCATTATATAAACACACAAACAAACAAAAAAAAAAAGAAGAGATGTGTACGTAACACTGATCAAACATTTGGGTCAGTGAGATTTTTTCCCATATATTTAAAACTTAGATTAAATACTAGAGATTTTTTAATACTTTTGTTCAGTAAGGATGCATTAAATTGATCAAAAGTGACAAGACTTTAACATCGTTACAAACAACAACAAAAAAAATCAAATTTTTCAAATAAACACTGTTCTCTATGGAAGCCCATTTCTGCCACTGAATAAAAAAATTTAAAAAAATCACTGCAACTTTTTATCTAACAATTTTGACATTTATCTTGCAATTCCGACGTTCTTTTCTCAGAATTGCATTATACAAACTCATATTGCAAGATATAAGTTCATAATTGCATGATATAATGTTGCAATTGCATGTTATAAAGTGAGAATTGTACGATATAAATCGTAATTAAGAAAATAGTATTTTTTTTAACTCGCAATTGTTTATATCTCACAATTCTAAAATAAAATCATTAGAATTGTGATTAAAATAGTCAATTGCAAGTTATAAACTCACAATTACAAAAACAAAAATTCAGAATTGTGAGCATTTCTGATTTGATCTGACTCGATTTTATCACACAATTTTGAGGGTAAAAAAAGTAAAGAATTGCAAGATGTAAAGTCTCAATTACCGTTTTTTTTTCAAAAATTCATCAAAGAATTAAAATAAAATATTAAGCACCACAGCTATTTTCAACGGTGATGATGATAAAAATGTGTGTTGAGCAGCAAATCAGCATATTATAATTATTTCTGAAGGATCATGTGACACTGAAGACTGGAGTAATGATTCTGAAAATTCAGATTTGCCACTACAGGAAAAATGTAATAATAATGTATACAGAAAACAGTTATTTTAATTTGTAATGTTTTTACAATATTTTTTACTGAATGTTTGATCAAATAAATGCAGCCGTGGTGAGCATACAAGTGACCATTTTACAACCTGAACTAACAAAATGTTAAATTTGATATCGTAGTGAGGGATCACTGCGGGCCTTCATTTTTTTCTCTTGTATGTTTATGCATATTGGTTGCACCACATGACATTTATATATTTCCAAGGTTTGACTGGGGAAAACCTTAAGCTGAATCATCTTTTCCAATTGTTCCCGTCATTAAAGGAACACTCCACTTTTTGAAAATAGACTAATTTTCCAACTCCCTTAGAGTTAGAGTTTTACAGTTTTCGAATCCATTCAGCCAATCTCCGGGTCTGGCGGTAGCACTTTTAGCTGCAGCTTAGCATAGATCATTGAATTGGATTAGACCATTAGCATCTCGCTCAAAAATGACCAAAGAGTTTCCTATTTAAAACTAGAGTCTTTTGTAGTTACATTGTGTACTAAGATCAACGGAAAATGAAAAGTTGCGATTTTCTAGGCTGATATGGCTAGGAACTATACTCTCATTCCGGCGTAATAATCAAGGAACTTTGCTGCCGTACCATGGGTGCAGCAGGCACAATGATATTATGCAGCACCTGAAAACCTGCTTGCACAGGGAGCGTGCCTTCTGTTGGAAGTTACCTAGCTAGGGGCTATTTTCAGGCGCTGCGTAGTAGACATATCGGCCTAGAAAATCGCAACTTTTCATTTTCCGTCGGTCTTAGTCCTGTCCTTTGGTAATTTTTGAGCGAGATGCTAATGGTCTAATCAGATTCAATGATCTATGCTAAGCTACAGCTAAAAGTGCTACCCGGAGATCGGCTGAATGGATTCGAAAACAGTAAAACTCAACTGTTTAACTCTAGGGGAGTTGGAAAATGAGCCTATTTTCAAAAATAGTGGAGTGTTCCTTTAAATCCTATTTGAACTCTTAAATACATACATTTAAATTTAAATATGTATTTATGCTTACATACACGTTTATTATTGATTTGTGTTAATTCTCCTACTGACAAGGTTATTGGTTGACTGTTGTGTGGCTGTTCTTGAGGACTTCTAACTGTACACACACACTGCTCTTAAGGAGTGTGTCTCTGTCAGGGGAGATGGGGCATGGATGATGGGAGCTGACGTGTGTCTGAGCTCATAACACTCAGCAGGTAGCAGCTCCATCTGGACCCCTCAGTCACTCATCAATATTTCACCGTTTCGTGTGTTGCTACTCCAATCATATTTCAGACAAGCCAACAGAATTGTCATCCTCCTGCCCACCTGCAAAGTGCAACTCGCTCTACATTGAGCTGAGGCAAAGGTAGGGAAGAGGATGATGGGAAAAGTCAATGCAAGCACGCCCATTTCCCTCTGTAAAGTGGAATTAGTGTCGAATAGCTGTGATAACTTTCTAAATGCTCAGTTAGGACAAACTCTGCAGATGCTACGTCTAAAATTATTCTCCACACCACAAAATGAGAAAAAAATGGGCAAATAAATAATCATATCAATTGGACACAAACATCAACTAAAGAAAAGCTTAATAACTGCAGCACTTCTGTAAGGCCCTATGAAATCAGTTTTATTTTTTTATTCCCCAAATTGTGTTTATTACATTTACATTTTAGTATTCAAAAAGCATGCATAACCAACTGTGAAAATGAAACTTACACAATTTATTACAAGTTTAACAAAAATTACATTTTTAGAGCCTAATTAAATCTATTTGAATTTTTCCCAAATTTTATTTTATTTTCCCAAATTCAGTTTTTTTGGATTCTGTTTTAATTGTTTTATTAAACTTTAACAATCAAAGCACGTCTAATCAACCGAATTAATAAAACTAACAATTCAATGATATATAGATATATACATATATATATATATATATATATATATATATATATATATTTTTTTTTTATAATAATAGACTGACATTTTTGTT